GTTTGTATCCTGGAACGATCGATGATTGCAAGAAACTCTTTTGGTACTAGTTCGTTAGCGTTCCCTTATTGCCATTGTATATCTTTCCCCTTGCATTCCCAAGGGCTTTTTTGTTAACTAGCAGGCTAGATGGCTTAGGGCGAGGGTGAAGTTGCTCATTATATCAGGGTTGTCGTCCTCCCGTACGACACTTTGTTAATGAGACATCGTGGAACACTCACTCAAGTCAAGCATCTTCTGTTGCACGTTGGCAGACCATTGATAGCTCCACGTATTCACATTCGTACATTTCATCGATACTTGATACTGTTGAATATTAACAAATGACCGGGAACGTAACTACTCCGGTAAACACTCGGAGAATTCACCTCTCATTTACATTTCTTTCAGACATGCATTTATACATCAGCATTCTACTTGGAATAAAACAGTACAGATGGACTTTCGGAGGATCCACCTTCAACAAACAGATAGGTGCTCTTTGAAACATCGGAGACATTCTTTATCTTTGATCCATTTAAATAAAACTATAGCACAAAATGACCAGGCCTCGGAAGGCCTTAGTATGGTCGGAGGTGTGTCTAGAGTTGCGGCTGATTACCCTTCCCTTGCACCTCCCTTGCTCTCATACGACCAAGCTTTTCAAATAGCCTCTGCTAAGGAAGCACTACTCACTGCCTTCTCGTGGTAGAGGTTTTTCCACCAAAGTGAGAGGACGAATAACCGACATTCGGGGTATGCCCGAGTTGGCGGACCACTGGTAGTTCACCTAGGGGAGTTGGCCAAAAACTCTGATTCCGAACCAACCAAGAGGAGGCGCACAAACCACACTCATCCACATCCTCCTCGGTGTGGCAGTGGTCAACGGCTCGATTGGATGTCAAAGTGTATTCCGCACCTTGGACGTTTGACCCCGTCCAAAGGGTGAATGATTCGGTTAACTGGACACCGGCCCCCAACGGATTGCGGTTTTCACACACCGCCCCTCTGCTTTGTGGGTCAAGCATTGCCTAGCCAAAGGCTCCGGTTGTGGATTCCTCAAGAAAATTCACCTGCCTTGGCCCGGGCAACCTGGCAGTATTCCGCCCACATGCAAATGATAGAACGCTTTTCTTTTTTACAAAGAATATTGTACCATGATTAGCTTGGCACATAGTCTGTCCGCAGACAAATGTGAAATATAATAATAGTACAGCGATAAGTGGGTTGTTAACCGGGATACAGTCGAGAAGTGAACGCTCGGCCTTGACACAGCACAATCCTAACATCAGTCACACCGTGAGCTTCGGACGCCGAATCGCCTGACACACGAAGAGTAAAGTGTGAGGTCGGATTAGGAGAACGCAAGATGATTGAAGTAGGGTCCTGTATGCGTGTTTCGGAGATACAGCACACATCTAAATGGAAATTTTGAAGGGTTCTAGCTAAGGCGGCTTGTTGACCGATCTGGTAGTGTGCAGACATTGAATGCAGCTAAAGGAAAACGGGAATTCGGTTCCAAAAATCTGATAGCGTCGGAGTGCTTAACCTCGTTAGGTGATCGCTGAGTGATATCCCATGGGTGGCACAAACAGGATGCATCTCCTAAGGTTTGGGAGTGAGAAGAGGAAGTGGACAGTCGAAAAAGATGGTTTTCCAAATAGGCACCCAAGACTTTGGGGTATGGCGTACTTCGCGACAGCCCACACCAACGAAGGGTTTCTTCTTTGGGAACCTTAACCGGAGCCTTTGACTCAAAAGTCTGACCCACGAGACAGTGGGGCATAGATCCAACACGGGAGAGTAAACGAAGCACCCGTAGGGGAGCCTCGGAAGACTTCACGCAATGCCTTTGAATTTCCGTTGTTTGTTGTTCGCTGGTGCATTGGTTGACGGTCCACTTTTCGGGATCGGCCCTTAGCCTCATGCACCCAATGAGACAAGCAGAACGTGGACGGGACATCACTTTATTAGCTGGGGGCTGCCCAGCTTGGGCGGGCAGTAGCTGTCCGGTAAATTGCGAAGACTTCTCCCAATGTCAGGAAGAAGACCCAGGTACCCCGCTCCGAAATCCATACAGCAGAGGTTTTTGGACTAGCAAACTGTCCCTCCTCGTGTTTTTTGCGAGGGTGACCTCTCCAGGGGCTGGAGTGGATAGTCAAGGGAAGCCAGATGCCCAAACAGTTGACCTGATAAAAACCACACCCTACTCTGATGAAGCCGGGAGCTTTGAAAGTTACATGTCTGAATTTTCCGCGGAACAACACAAACTGGAGGTCACACAATATTCCAGCACGCGCTTGATGATATTCACGATACTGGTTAGCCTTACGAACAAACTATCTGGTTATCATGAGCCTCAAGAACAATACATACAATTTTAAACCTGATCTTCCCCATTTGTGCGTGTATACATTACTGGGGCATGATTATATGAAACCAAACGAAGCACTCAGAGTTCTGTTCAACGGTAGGAGAGCATTTCCATGTTTTGGTAGTGTAGCTGTTTCATGCATCGAACCACTATCTCTTCGGGAACTGGCAGCCAAACTGCAACCAAAT